ATTTAAATTCAATTCACTATTCCTCTCATTATTAATGAGGTTAAGGACATCAAAGTGATTCATGATGTTCTCCTTGAAAGGGTGGGCATATGCTCAAGAACACATTGCGGAAACTGGTTGGCTTTCTTCTGCTTTAGCTTACCTTGGAACTTGCATATAAGCAGTTTATGACCTGTTTCACAGTCAGCATCTGGTCATCTCTTTGATAATTGAGTTCCTCTATCTTGTTTTAGCAATAATGTAGTCAATTAGACATCTATATATTCAATACAATCAATATTTTGGTTGTTTGAAGACAGTGTTAGCAATGAATGCAACATTAGAGTGGCTGAAATTGATAAATCATTCTCCTGCCTCATTTTGGTTTCCTACACTACATAGTCCAACATTTTCCTTCTTAATATTTCCAGTCACCATTCACAAGAGGCATATCTTGCTTGCATATTATGCCAATTTTAAACTGAACCTGGTCATAAAACCCATCCACCTCCTCTTCATTTGCATCAGTGATCCCAATTCACTGAGATGTCAATTTGTAGTCATTTTATTTCATTTTTCATTGTGTTGAATTTTTCTACATTCATACATCTTATATTCCATATTTCCACTGAGTTTGTCTTTGCAGCTTTAGATTTTTCCCTTTATGGAACATCATCAACATGATGTCTGAAAGGCTTTAACTTAGCCACATCATTAGTAGTCCAAAATATTATCAGCTTTTCCTCAGTAGGATTTTGAGGGCCATCTGATCTGAGGAACCATCATGGTGTAGTATATTGCCAGTTATTTTATGTTTTCTATCCAGGTGTTTTTCTTGGTAGAAAATATAGTAGTGGTTTACTATTGCCTTATTCCATAAAAAGAAATAAACAAATGTTGTGTCTCACAGTGTGTTCCTCCTGTCACAAAACGTCTTCAAAAAGGAGAAGCGTGGGATGATGAGGCTTTGGCATTTAACCAAAGTGACACCATGCACAAGCTAATGCAGTAAGAAACTCTCTTCAGTCTATGTCACTTTTTCCCTTAAAAATAATTGCTATGTAACTAAGGTTTTATTTTTACTTGCTGGTGCAGAATAAGGATCTGTTATTTGACAGCATAATGACACTTAGGAAATGTTTCTTCCTGTGTGTCTATGAGATTCTGGTAAATCTCCAAGAACATGTTAATATTGCATCTTTTATGTTCATGTTACTTGTTTCACTTTTATATTCAAGCAATTATCACTTGCTTACAATTCATTTTCAACTAAAAATTTGGTGTTCATGCATCCTTGATTTAATAGAGTAGTAGAATATCCTACCTTTTGTTTTAGTACAGTTTCTAAAATTATCAAGGAATCACTCAATCACTCTTTTGACATAGGAAAATAATCATAAACAATCATCCAATTATTCAATGTCCCTTTTATCACTCATCACATGAGAACTGAAAGCCATGCTTGATATTCAGCTAGTTCAGAAAATTCTATTTCAAAAAATTCCTTCAGAGTACAATGTGGAAAAAATGGTAAGTTCAAAAGATTGTAAATTGCTGAAAAATATTTTTTAATTAGAAGCAATTTCTAAAAGTAAGCATATTTGTTGTATCATATTAATTGTCTTGCTACATCTTTTCAGGCTTCTATCTTACTTTCAAGTTCTACTTTTGAAGAGTTGTCTTAATTTTAACAAGTAAATTCCTTAAAACAGTAGCATTTTATTTTTTTTCAGTTTCATCCAGGAGCCTGAATAAAAGGTTAGGTTCCTTTGAGAAATAACAGAGAGATGCTATGCTTGCACAAGATCCTCATCACTTGTCTGATTTTTGAAGGATGCACAGCCCAAGTGTCCAGACATGTTGATTTCATATCTCAAAAATGCAGTTTTGAAATTCTTAAAGAATTCATTATCTTCTAGTTGAATTCTTCATAATTATTCCAGGGTTTTCTGAGGACATCATATTACAGCTTTCTATGTTTTAGTACTAGTTGGTCATGGACAATGTAGGAGGATTGGGGCCTTCTTAGTCAGACTGTGGTTCAAGGGTTTACTGTTTGAGATGTGCTCATCTAGACAAAAAATAGGGTGGATTAAATTTACCAGTGTGCACAACAAGTTTCTTTAAAAAGTTGTCTTTATAATTATCTGTGTAGACGTGCAGTATTGTGCTGTGTATACTTCTTCTTCCAAGAACATAAGCATAGCCACAAGGCCCTGTTACAGTCTGTTTTATTTTTCCTCTACTTTGCATGTCTAAAAGTGATTTTCATTATTATACGTGAGAGGCTAATCAATAAAGCTGTTCTATCCCTTCTTTTGTTAGGATGCTGCTCTTCTCTACTGCTTACAGGGTACTTTTGGCCAAGCCATTTCCCTATTTATAAATATTGCAAGTATTTCATGCAACTCTGAAATATTAAAGATTCTTTCAATACCTAGTGCTCAGATCAAGGAAACAATTTTAGATTCAGTGTGGAAGATATCCCACATGGCAGACACCATTATATTAGTGAAGGAGTTCACCAAATTGTTGGATTAATTTTGCATACTTATGGCCCTTTCTTTCAGGTGTTTGTGGTTGAAGGGGGTTTGAAATTTCTCTGGTGAAAGGAAAAAATCTTTAACAATTTCTTAAGAGTAGAATTTCCTATAGCACCACTGCTGAAGTAATCTAATTAAATGAATGCCTTCTTAATCACTTTCCCTGGGATTTAAAGGACATGAAGAAAGGATTATATAATAAAAGTCTGCCCATTCAAACACAGCCTTCAACTACCTGATAACAAATAATATAGAAGAAAATCACAATCCACCATAAAAATTTCTCCTTTGATAGAATTTCTAAAGCAAATTCTCTTTCCTCTAATTGAATGATAATTTCTAGGGGAAAGGAAGAGCATCATTTATCTGCAGAATGCTACTCTGCAGGAAGTCTGCAAGTCTGCAAGTCTACTCTGAAGACTTCAGTTGCATGGTAATATGTGCTGAGTGAAAGTCTCTAACTTGTAATAAGCAAGCATCAAAGTGATTTATGGGGGACAAATCTTAATAGCAACCCTAATACTAAATTCGCTTTAATCAAGTCACATTTGAAAGGCACCAGGAGAAGTGATCAATTTAAGCAGAACAGCCAATCCCAACACATTATACACAATACAGCTCTCTGTATGAGACCTCCATCTACAGTATCTCTGTAGCTGTTTTGAAAGTTGACTTACTTACTTTTTAAATAGGTAAACTTGAAACTGATGTGAAAATTGTACTATTGGAATGAACACATTCTGAGTGTGGAGTATTTTAAAAAATAGGTCCATGCACAAAGGAAAAAAAATTCTTCTAGATCAAAATTTACTGTTGCTTCCCCAAGAGGAGAAGGATTATTTTATTACTCTTTAAACAACTGAGCATTGGAAATCTTTACTGTTTTATTACTCAGAATTCTACCAATAGAACCTGATCAATCTCCCAATCAATCTTGGTGTTTATTAGTAAATTATTAGAATCAAATAAAACCTACTAGTTAAAAAGTGGATAATTTTCTATATTTTATTTATCCATTTGGGGACCAGATTTGCATGTGGTGTGTGCGACAGTGAATGCAACTGTGTTAGTGCATATGTGCCTATGTATATTGCTGGGTGTTTTTCAGATTAGATGCTCAGGGCAAATTACAAGAGATTTGCTTTCGCAGGTCTAGCATCGAACAATCTAATCCTCAGCTGTACCACTTTGATTCATGCAGCTCTGCCAAAATACCATAATTTTGGCTTAACGATTCTGGTTGTTGATTAGTTCAATAAAATGAAGTTTGGGGATGAAAAAAATTAATGAGATAAAAATGAGACACCAATTGCATATAAAAGATTACTTTTATGACCCCTCGTTTTCTCTTTTTCGTCCTAGAACTTCATGTGGTAAGACAGAGCTTTCCTTCAGAACCATTTTCCTTACCTGGATTATTATCATACATTAATTTTGGAAACTTCAGGCTTCAAAGATGGTGGCTGAAGAAGATAAAGAGAACAAACTTGGTTTTTATTCTCAGCTCTGCTCTTTGGGCCAATCTCACACAGGAGCTGTTCTGTGATTTCTACATTTGGCAGTTCTGAGCAGTTCTCTTAAAGCTGAACCCTTTTCAAAGAGACAGTGCGGTGACTGTTTGATGGCAATAGCAAACATTTGGGCTAGAAAGGGCTAACCATTCATGAGGCAAACACTTTGGCAAAGCTTCAATGGAATGAATCAATTTAAAGGAACAGAACAGGCTGTTTAATGTTCCAGTGACAAACTTTTTTTGCAAAGGGCTTTCCATTTACAACATAACATTTCCAAAGAAGGTGCTTTTATGGGACCCTGATTTCCCTTGTTCTAAGAGCAATGTATAAAAACAAACAACATCTCCCTTCACGATGGATATGAGAAAACAAAAGCCTGTTACCCATTTTTTTTATTTTGTTATTTAGCATTTTCTATTATATTTTCAGCCAACTTTTTCATTCTGATAATGACAAGATTCTCAATGGCCTTCCTTATCTGGTGTTTCTTTGCCTTTTCATATTTCTCATTTCCACATTTTTATCTTTTGTACTTCCTATTCATTTGATTGAAATATCTTTCTTTGATTCATTTATTTCATATTAACTCAAAAGAAAATCTTAAAAGATTCCTCATCATGAGAAATTTCTGTAAAAGTTCTTCACCTTCTTAAAAAAGAAACATTCCTCAAGCATTTTAGGAAGTTTTAAACAATTTGTGGGAAGGAAAATTTTCTATCATGTAGGCATATTAATTAATTCTGTTGCTATCACAGTTCGGAGAAGTTTATGGCATAAAGCAAAATCTGAAAAATCTGCTTATCAGAGGCAAAAAAATGAGATAAATGCATACAAGGCAAGCAGAAATCCTAGTTCAAGCTACATTCAATACTATGTAAAAAGCTATTGTCTACTTCTACCATTGCATATTAACATTCCCACAATATAGAATATACAAACTCACAACTTTATTTATTCAGCCATATAATATAATTTATTCAGAATATAATGCAAAAAGTGTGTAGTATCTCCAAAACCAAAATGAAAGAACACAGGGTTTGAAAAAGCAGTCAACACCTCTATGGAAATTGATTCCAGAACAGAATCATAATCTGATTTAAATGACAACCTCATACAGAGAAGACATTTTCCTAGGTTGCTGTTGATTACAGTAATTGCAGTTGTCATATTTCTGTTATGGAGCTGAAAAAAATTCAGAGTTCCTCTCTGAAGAGTTTGTCCTCTGGTTTAGAGGTTTTTTCCTGAAACAAAGCAGAATAAAACACATCAAATCACGAAAGAATATATATCTTGACAAAGGAGTTAAGCTTAAGCCCTTCCACCTCCAATTTATTTTTTTAATTTTAGCTCAATGTCGCTTGCACAAATCAGAAAAATGTAATCCTGAAAATCAAACCACCTTACCATGAAAATGAATTCCTGATCACTTCTTGTAGCTTAATGACAAAATAGATGTTATGTATTTCAAAAGCCCCAGATTCAGTTTCTATCATCATCAGGTAGGACTGGGAAAGTCTCATCTCTAAAAACTTGTAGAACTTTATGCATTAACCTTCATTAACTGGACCAATGGCCTCCTTCAGGAACAAAGCATTTTCCTCATTTCTTGAGTAATACATAAATGGGATATTGAAGCTCAAGTCTAATACTTTAAAAGTAGAGTTTTTAAAAAAATAATTCTCCTTATGAAATGAACATATAACTTTCATGGGAGCTTTCTCCTCTTTAGGACTCAAAGACATATTACTGAAACTCAAATTATGTTTAGATCTTCTTAATCTTAAATGGACAAATGCTGAAAAAATGGACAAATGCTGGAAAATATGCATGTGCTCTGCTGGTACTTAACCATCACTCAATTATATATTCCTTGATAAAAGCAATTATATATTCCTTGATAAAAGCAATTTCTCCCATTGTCCTCATGATATTCTTATTTCATTCCCAGCCTCTGGTAAGCCCATGTTAAGTTGTCTATAAGTGTTCAGGTATTAAAGTAGTTTCCCCCCCCCATTTCAACACCATCCAACAACAGATGGCAGGTAAGTAAAATCTGGTGTGTTTTGGCACCTATTCAAGGAGAAGGGTATTCAGGTGAACAGTAGTGGGTCTGAGCTTCTTCAGCTGCTGTTCTGTAACTTAAAAAGGTAGTGCATATATACTGGCATATGCAATCTCAAAAAAAACCTTACAAAGAATCAAACAGTAACAGACAAAGCAGCCTCGGGAAGACAAAGCCTTGAACTCAGATCCTGCCCATTTCTTCTCATTGGCGGGTATTTTTCTTGCTAGCTAATGTAATGTGAAGATGGAGGAGGACACAGGATTAAACTAGTTACTTTGCATACCAAAAGTGTTACACAAAAAATTAGGATAACATCATTGGCAATGGTGGCATTAGGGACTGTATATTGCATACCAATATTGTTTTCTGACAACGGAGTAATTGATGGAGAGCACTTGTATTTAATAATGGAGAGAGGTCCTAAGGTGCTTAATTAGTAGATTGTTGCCTTTTTGGCTAACATTCTTAGCTTAAGAATCTGTGCAATGACAGCATTTGTATGACACATGGCATCTGATATGCTGAAGTACTAGTACTCATGAATCAACTACCAGGCTGCAAAAGCAGGTTTGAAAAGAGTAAGCTAATTATTGCTCAACGACTAAATATTTTACAAAATAGTTAAGCCTAAGACCTTTTCCTTAAAGCAGGTGGACTCTTAAATGTACCTGTTTTTTATAATAGAGACATTGTAATAGAAATGCACAATAGATGTATTTTGCCTCTAACAAAACACAATTCCTTGGTGGGAGACAGTGGTAGGCAAGCTGGTAATTTAGGGAACAGAGAGCATCAGGGCTTTTGACAATAAGTGTATGTCATTTCTGATTCTTTACATTACAAGAATAAGTCTTCTTTTTTAACAACATCAGTAAGGTTTATAATTAATTCTTAGGATTGCTTCTGTCAAAGAAGTGAACCAATTTTATGCCTATTAATTCCCAAACATTGCCCAGGGTCTGAAGTATCTGTACACACAAAGTTTACCACAGTTCTCTATTTTTCCATGAGTCTAAAGCTTCCTTTCTCCAATCCTTAGAAACACATAAATAAACATAAAACACCAGAACCCAGAATTTCCAGAGGTTGGGAAAACAAATTGTGCAAAGGAGAAAACATAAGACACTGAATATAATCATTCACACTAGTCCAATTTGTATTACATAATCCAATTCTAGAGTTTCAGGTTTAAAGATTAATAACCAATAGAAAATTTCTAAATGTTATGGAATTGCACAGCTTTTCAAAAGGAGAAAGCAGTTCTTTGGTAACACATCAGCTAAATGAGATAACATTTTTTTATGCGAGCATTTTTATGGATGAGCATGAACTCCAAATACATTTAGGGAACACTAGATTGGAGAAAGAAATTGTATCAAGGATAGGAAGAAATGTTTTGAAACGCTACAGTTTTTTCAGGCATAAAGTTGGAAATGATATTGACAGGGAGAGAAAAGCTAGTACCAAATTACCAGAATGATGTCAAGGGAACAGCAAGCTGTTGACTAGTCAAGGAATCATGTGTGCAAAAACTCATTCTGTACACTCACTCCTTTCTTTCTCTCCAAGAAGGCATTACAAAAATCTGTTATTTTCTCGACAGAGACTTCATCCAGAAGCTGCACATTCTGCTCCTCATCTGCAGTATAGTAGGCAGCCAGGGCAGGTAGTTGGGACTTCTTTAAGTGGAAATAAGACAGAACGCGCTCATTACCTTTGACGCCAATGTCCACCAGGATAAATAGAGCCTTCAAAGAAAGAACAAAAACCTAATTTTAAAAAGTTCATGGAGCAAATAAGTATGATAACACAGATTTATAATGATGAGGAATTAAAGGATGATCATGTTTTGCCAGAGTTGTCTTTCTATACCCAATTACTAAGGCATCTAAATTTGTCCAAAGAAGTGTAAACCTGATGCAAGTTTATTCATTAATTTTATTTATAAGTAATCATAAAGAGTATTGTACACTAAATTCCACTATTGAAAAAAGCCAGATTTCACCATGAGAAAAATATTTATATCAGTAATATTATTTTACCATTATTCCCTCTTTTAATAAGCTTTACATTCCTCTATGCATCAATATATATGTTAATGCACATTAATTCAATATATATATATGGGCTCACATTTGATGAATTGGACTGTGTTGTTCAACAAAAGATTTGTAAATTGTAAATTCTGTAAAGTTACAATTATTTGCATAGTCACATGCCCCAGATACTGTATAATAGAAAAGCCGAAGAAATAGAAACATAGAAAAGTATACCCTGAATGTGCTATAAGATATGCAATATTTTTACAGCTGCAGTTGACTACCAATGTTAAACAAAAATGACCCAATTAACTTGTCTTTTCGCTGACAAAATAATTTGTTATCATTGTAGCATGGAGCCATTGGGTGGTGGAATGGAACAGCTGAATGATGAGCCTTCTTCATTCCATCAGCTTTCCTCTAGAGAATGTATGTGGATGGAGCATATGTTCCATGTCTGTGTTTACAAAACTTTCCTACCCATTGATAACGTTATGGAAAATGAACAAATTCTGTTTCACCATAAATAACAGGTGTGTGTGTGTTTGTGTGTTTGTGTGTGTGTGTACCTATACGTATTAGTATACGTATATGTATATGCATATATGTGTGTGTGAAAATCATCATATTGAAAATATGATGAAGCTTATAATTTAATTTAATAATATGAAATGAGAGTAAGAGAAAGAAATGTGCACTTAAAACTGGATCCTTCCACTTCCATGCATTTGTTATATATATTTTTAAATTTTTTCTGTGTTATTCTTAATTTGACACACATTTCACATTTAATCCTCCTGCTTTCCCCCTTTGTATTCCTTGATTTAAAACTTTCATTTAGTGACCGTTCAAAGTTACAATGGCACTGAAAAAAGTGACTTATGACATCTTTTCACACTTCTGACCGTTGCAGCATTCCCATGTGATCAAAATTCGGATGCTTGGCAACTGATTCATATTTATGATGATTGCAGTGTCACAGGATCACAGGATCACTTTTTGTGACCTTCTGACAAGTAAAGTCAACAAGGAAGCCAGATTCACTTAACAACCGTGTAACTAACTTAATAACTGCAGTGATTCACTTAACAACTGTGGTAAGAAAGATAGAGTGTGAGTTAGGGGCTTATGTGTTATGTAAATTTGTGTATGTTCTCTTTCCTAGGCCTATCTTTCTTCAGGAGGGTCGGCATGTCAAGGTTGACTTGCAAGGCACTTTTTTCTGCTTGCAACTTGACAAAGAAGATAAGGGAGGGGAGATGGCTACGATTGGAATATGTGGGGAACTGGGAGGAAGAAAAGGAATTTATGTGAGCTGTTTCGAACCTGATGCTGAAGACTTTTGAAAGGTGCAGACTGTTTTCCCAAAACAAAATGCTTAACCTGGATTGGTGGACAGTGGACACTACACGGCCTGGGGGAAGGAAAAGTGGTTTTTACTATGCTGTGCTTCGCGCCAAAATCTTAGAACTGGCTTTGCTTCTTCTGTACTTATATGGATCTGTCAGTAAAGTTATACTCTTGGTAAAATGAAAAATGTCCCAGGAGTTTCTTTTATTGTACCTGACAATGGGACGGTTGGTAGTCGTAAAATGGGGCAAAATTCACTTAACAAATGTTTCACTTAGCAACAGAAATTTTGGGCCCAGTTGTGGATGTAAGTCGAGGGCTACTTGTATATGAAATTTGATATAAGCAGTATTACCACTTCCAAAAATCTTTTGTGGTATTGACTAGGATTATTTCAGACTTACCTTGCCTTGAAAGGCTACTGCTGCTTCACGGTACTTGTTAATCCTCTCAGTGTGCAGTGGGGAAGTCTTGTCAGTGAACAGAAGAAGATGGATCTGAACTGCACTATCAAAGAGGCCTACTGCAGTCTGTCATGATTAACAGAACAGATGAAGTAATATGTTGATTAGAGAATGTAAGTATCAATCCTTGCATGTTCAAAATAACCCTGAGCCATGAATAAATTTATAGTCAAGGGCCGGAAGAGAATGCAACTGAGTTGAAGGTCTGGAGAAACAACAAAAGCAGATGATGTTCAATATCAGAGGTAGGCATTGTAGAAGTCACAAACACCCATTTTTGATATTTACAAACCTTCGCTTTTGTTTTATTTTTCACTGTCCTTTAAATAACATTTACTTTTTTAAAAGTGGGAAGTTGGTATGTTCTAGTTGGACCTGAAACTGCAAATAGAAAATAAAAATGGTGAGTGACTGCAGATAAGGGCTTATTTTGGAGCTGCATCCCCCTGCCTAGAAAAATGATATAGCTACATCTATTATAACAGGACCAAAATTTTTCCCAGCATGTCTGCTAATCTTTGAAAAACAGACTGAACTGACTCAAAATTGGTTATTCTTCTGAAGTTTGCCTGATGTTTGATCTGTTTCATTTTGTTAAATCTCTCTTTTTTTTAAAATCATTTGCTAGTGGCATTGCTGATATAAACACTATTTCCAAATGATGTATTCAAAGCTATTGAACCAAAATATAGGCCTGGTTTCAAGGAAACCAAGAATACTTCTCATATTTTCACATCTGTAATAACTAATATGGAGAGGAGGAAAGCATGACTAGTGTTGGCACATCTTCTACTGAGTAATCTGTATATCTCATCCTCTATAGTTGTACAACAAGCATGACATTGATAAAAGGACGTGAGAGAAGTTATGTCAAAGACTAAATCACCTCCTTCAACGTAGGGCTTACTGCATTTCACACTGGAGGTGGCAAATTTTCTTTAACATTCATTTTAATATTAGTTTTTGTATTTGCCTTAGTTGCTGCAGATGTACATCTAAATACTTATTTGTAGATTTCCATCCCACACTTGACTTGACTTGACTTGACTTTGGTACCTTGGCACTTATCCAACTAATTGGTTCCAGGAAGTGCGAAGACTACTAAAAACAATGAGTACCAAACAAATTTTTCCCATAAGAAACAATGTAGCGAATCACAAGGCAGTCAACACCAAGTTCTAGCTTGTGCGTTGAGTACCAGACAAACGATGAGTACCAGGACAAAATTTTCATGTCAAAATGCATTGAGTGCCAAATCTGATGAATTTCAAAGCAGCTGAGTACCAAGGTACCACTGTACTTTAATTTAATTTACTTTATTTTATCTTACCTTACCTTACTTTACTATTCAACAGAAGGAAGTTCCACTGAGTTCAATGCTACATTTCTTTCAATTGCAGTCTTCTTCGTTTCTTACTGATTTAAATTCCTTGCAATTTCATGTTCCAGTAATTTTTAATAAATGGATTGTTTGCTTTCATCATGAATTTAGCTAAATTTGTTATATGGCATAGTTGGAACAGAGTGAAAGCAAACCTTCTGAAAATACTGACGCAGAAATGACCATGTGTGTATTCTCTCTAATATTACAATCATAACTTGTAAAAACACAGCAGAAACCTGGAAAACATCATCTGGAATTGCAAGCCACAAGGTTGAGGCAGCTTGGATGAGAACACTAAAAGATGGCACATATCATCTGGGGGGGGGCAGGATGATATAGCGGCACACACTAAGTCTCTGTGAGCAGCCTCCAGTCACCTGGCACTGCCAGTGGTCTTATTGCATAGTCTGTAGCTGGTAGATAATTTGTCATCTGACTTTTCCTTTCCCCTTTCTCCCCCTAACACTTCCTGAACTGCAGCTGCTGCTCCCACAAGCCAAACAGAGGACTGGAGAGTCTGCAGCTAACCTGCTGCTCCTTCATGGGCCTCATAGAACCACAGTGAGAGAAAGAGAAAGACCTCTGTGTCAGACCCTGCCAGATTTTTCATTAAAAAAGAGGAATATGTGAGAGGATTCCAGAATTAATAAGAAAAGGTCACTGAGTGCACTTCTTGAAGAACCTTCCAGCTCAGACCACTGGGACTCTACATTGTGGGAGGTCCAGAATATTCTGACCTTCAGTTTCAAAGCTCCATTTCTCTTTCCATGAAAACAGCTAGACTACAAAACTCAAGAAAAGACCAAGTCAGACATAGGCAATGCTCTGACTATTAACCCACAACAGGGACAAAAAAGAAATTTCAGCAAGAGATGTATTCCTCACATGCAGAGTTGAAATGCAAATATCTATTATAAATCTTAAATTACACCTGTGCAACTTTTTCCAGAGCAAGGACTGCAATTTGCTTTTGAAAGGCATTGCTTACAGGTCATATTTCAAAAAGAAGACATTAGGGCAAGGAGCAAAAGAAAATAAATGTATGTTTACATTTAATTACAATTCAATATACTTATTACAGTTGTTTCTCTTTTAGAATTATAAGTCATTAATTCTGGAGGTCTCTGGAAGCCACATGCAAGGCTTAGTAGGGTCAATCTAATTCTGAGCTCAATCTAACACTGAGGTCTCCCCTTCTGCTCACAGGACATGCACCAAGCATATATCATTGTGAATTATTTAGGGTAACAGATAATCTGACAGTAAAACTCTCCTCCTAATATATATCTTTCCTTATAAGAATAAATCAAACCTATATAAATCATTATAAACTCAGCAGTCAAATAAACTGTACTAGTTAAGTTTTAGAAAATTCCTTTGTTACCATGGGGTTGTACTCAGTCACCCAGCGGAGTTCATTCATCCGGACAAAGAGACTCAACTTGTCAACATCGACTTTGTTGCTGTCCTGGATTTCCAAATCTTGCCTTTTGTTATCCACCTGAATTAAAGCAAATAATCTTGCTATCACCATTGCACTTCAGTCATCATTGTTCTTTAAAACACTTGCAGAAAGCATTTCAAATGCAACAAGAAAGGATAGCCAATACAATCCTTATTATTTCCCCACTTCTGAACAGTATGTTTTCTACATAGATTTTTAGCCTTCTGCCTCTCTCCAAACAAATTTCTCATTCCATTCATTTCCCATCCCATATACATATAAACTATGCTTTTGCTCAAGATTTTCATAGTACTGACTATCCTAGAAAATTAAAACTATAAAGTCTTTGCTTTTTGGTTTAGCTAGAGAAATAGCTAACACATTTCTGAACTATTAGCAGTTGAATTAAACCATCCTGGATTCTAAATAATAAGGTGAAATATTAAGCAGTTGTGGGACTTTTGTAATGAGATCTTTAAAAAAACTAATTTATATTTTTTTGCAAAAGTTCATCTGCTAATTTCATTACTTCTAGACTTAATAAACACTGGCATAAGCATGTATGGATTTCCTGGAAACATTGTGCAAGCAAGAATCCTCTCCAATAAATACAGGCATTTTTCCAGAAGATCAAGGAAAAATATTCAGACTCCAAAAACTCCATTTTGGGGAACAGATCTCCCACTGACATCTTCCTGGATCTTACTGACAGTCCCCAAACAGACAGGCAAGTAACAAAATTCAGCAGCAAATCCCAGAGGATTAAGTCAATGCTCAGTTAAATGTCCTTATTGATGTATGCATGGCTATATAGAGTATAAGTGAATGATTTGTATGAGGGAGAGGGGGGAGGAAGAGGGAGATCCTTGGCAATGCATATCACTATGTTCTATTATATTCACCAAGCAAATGTGTTCTTTTCCCCAGAAATACCTGCCTCAGTCTTTTCTTATAGAAAGTCTTTTGACTTTGTTGTTATTATATGCCTTCAAATATCAAAGCAACTGTTAATGTCAATTATTCTTTGACTGGTGGAGGAAAAAACCAAAAGTAACTCCATAAAAAATAAGGACTGTTAAACTGGTGCAAAACAAGTGAAAGCCAGAACACATAACCTCTTGAGATACTTCCAGAAACCATTAGAGTCAGTGGGAAAAGCCTTTATTTGGAATGGACTACAGACTTCTATAAAAACAGATCAGCCCTATTCCAATGCTGTACATATTTTGTCGTTGCATAAAGACTCTCCTATATGAGAGAAACAACATATATACAGGTATGTATGTTCAGACAGATCTTAAGGAAATTATTTGGAGAGGGTGGATATCTCATCCAGTGTCATTGGATTAGGCCTGGATTAGTGTGGTTAGTTTTTGATCACAAAACTCTGGTACTTCCATGTCCTCTTAATATATCCAGAAACTCTAAAGAATGTCAAGTATTAAACAAAAAGCCATCAAAAGTGTTTAATAATCTACTGAGCTATCCCCAGTCTGATATTTTCTAGTTATATAGCACTTTAATTCCTGTTACCTTCAGCTAATATGTTAGCCTTGAAGAGGTAGTTCAATACAGCAGTTAGTTGGTTATTTATCCCTCCATCTCTACATAACAAGCAAAGTCTTCACACACCTGGGTCTAGCAACTCTGTCACTAAGCACTATAGTCACTAAGCAGAAAATGCTTCCCAAATGACTTGTAACAAGCAGATAAATAGAGAATGTGTAAGTAAAATCATAAGTCACAGCCATGTGATGTTTTACTTGACCAAATAGGAAATGATGTGGTAAGTTCATTGTGGTCACAGATGCTTTATTTTCACTCTCTACCTATTTTAAACTCCGCATTACTTAAGGTTAAAAACAGGGGGGAAATCAAGGTTTATAGTAGAGAAACAAAATAGAGTGAAGGCCCTAAAATATGCAAATGGAAATATACCATTATAAATCATATTAGATAATAAATACACATCACTGTCAAGTAGATCTATGCAAAAAGTTTCATGGTGAAAACTGTGGAATGGACTGCTCCAACCCAATCAGATGTATTCTGATTTTCAGTTCAACTGCCTCAACATTTCTTTCTATATTGTCATAATGGTCTATTCTGAGGCTGAAATGTTGGTATTAAAGTCAGAATAATGTTGGAACACTTCTGCTAAGACAGAAACAGCCAGTTGGAAGAGCACTTTTTAGAACTGGGTCATTTCAACCACAAAACCTTTTATAGACAGTGCCAGCTGGTGCCTTTTCAGATTACAGAAAAGCAACTGGCTTGTTTAATGCTTTTGCATGTTTAGACATACATAAATATGTAAATGCAGAGGCAATCCATGCCAAACCTATCAAAAAAGATGTTTTATAATATAGAAGTATGCTAGAATACTAGTACAATAAATAACTAAATATTATACTAGCACTGTAACTCAGCCAATCATTCAACAAACTTGCTATTTCTCTCGCGTTCACTTTTCAAATTCTGAATGGGAACATTTAGGAAAAAAGGTATCATATGCTACTTTGTGTTTCATGGGCCCAAGTTTGATAAAGCAGATCATTTATTTCTTCATAAAGTACCGGTATATAATGTCCATACAGTTTGCACAATTCTCCTGGGATGGAACTAAGCACAAATTCTCCAAGGTAAAGTGGGGATGCATGGATTTTGGGGCAGCAAGGCAATGAACAAGCATATTATAGAGAATAAGCACAGCAGAAATGCTATTATTACTTCCGCATGACTGCTGGCTGCCTGCAGTTCGGCGGTTCAAATCTCACCAGGCTCAAGGTTGATCTCAGCCTTCTATCTTTCCGAGGTCAGTAAAATGAGGATCCAGATTGTTGGGGGCAATATACTGACTTTGTAAGCTGCTTAGAGAGGGCTGTAAAGCACTGTGAAGTGGTATATAAGTCTAAGTGCTATTGCTATTTTATTTAATTTTGAAAAAAAAAGTATAAGTTACCCACATTTATAAAAATATGTACTGATTAATATCATTTGATCTTGCTTTTTTAAATGTTAGAGTCATTCCAAAATATTCTACTGACTTTGAGGAGAGAAGTTCTCTTTTTTAAAAGAAGCATCCCCATTGGATATCTTTTCTATAATTTGTTTCTACTACTCTTGGAAACATCTCTTCATACCTCTCTCTCTGCCTGCATCCAGATGATGTTTTAATGAGGTAATTGCTTTGCCATATTTATGGTATCTTAAACCAGACTAAACAATATTGTTATCCTTTAGTTGTAACACTCCCATCTGGGATAGTTACAGAGTATTTTGATTGTTTGCACTTAGAGTTTTCCCCCTGGAAGTACTCTTGGGTTGTATTCATGCTTCAGCCAGTCAATGATCAGTGAAACACATAGTCATGGAAACTTATTTCACAGTTGCCATTTGGGTAAACGAAGAGTTCATACCAACTATGTTCAGTCCTTTATCCCATAAGTCCTTGCCAGGAGAACACTGGTAAATTTTTGTTCTGTAAATAGTGCCTCTTCGTTGATAATATTGTTGTTTTTAATATTTGTTCTGCTTCATTGTAGAGTTTACTTGTTTTGTATTTGAGCCATCTAGTTCTAGATAGCATGGTACTCAACAGGTTTAGTTTTTTAGATGACTTGATACAGTGTCTAATTCTACTTTGGGGATTTGATTGGCCCATAGACATCCAGCTGGTGTCCATGCAAAAGGGAAGACTAGAACATGGACTTCCCTAGTCTTAGCCCAGCATCCTAACCATTATGTCATGCTGGCTTTCATTCCCCATTGACATGATGCAAACCATCAGTATTGAGAAGGCATGTTCCATGGTTAACAGGATATAACAATAAGTTTTGTAATAAGCATCTTGTGGTTCACAACTTCCTCACTTTACCTTTGATGACTGCCTGAGCAGGATGCTCAACAGTCTACTATGTTTTTGAATTCATACAGCACAGCTGAATCTAATGAAAGAAAAATAAAACAAAAATTGTCCTAATATCGTTTGGGATTAAAACTAATTTGTTCTTACTCCAAAATTGATTGGCTTAGCAAGTTGCAAGACATTATCCTTGCAACTGACTCACTTAAGCTTGTTTTATGAACCAAACTTTAGAATGTCATATAGATTCCTACATACCATAAGCATGGCTAAAGAAAAGTCCCAGTTTATACCTATTAGCAGCTATAGCATTTAGATATTATTCAAGAAAGAAGCAGAACTGCAAAACAAAACCTACCATACGAAAGAGGGAGATGGTATTTTTGGTGATATTATAGTGAGAAAGAACTTGAGAACTGGTGCAGATCCCAAATGGTACATCTGGTATATTTTTTACCATGGTAAGGAACTTTAAAGCTTCGGGTTTTTCTGAATCCTGAAAAAATAATGAACAAGTTGAGAAAGATTTTGCGACACTATGATGTATATAGAGATTGATTTTTATCCCCAGAGCTATCCCATTCATAATTCTAGGAACAGGAAAATGTATAAAAATTCTCTTAGAGCTTTTTCTGCAATGCAATTCTGCCATCACAGAGCAGGTCCCACTTCAGAAATTTAATTTAATTTAATGCATTATTTAAATAATGGTTTATCTGCCGCAATCATTCAATACTGCAGTTCCCAGAGCAAGAAGCAAATTAAACAGAAGTACATTTGAGGCTTTACCAAGTTTTATTTTATGTTAGGGTACAAAGATAGATGATGATGATGATGATGATGATGATGATGATGATGATGATGATGATGATGATGATGATGATATAGATAGAAAGATAGATTAAAAGTAAACAATGAATGAGAATGTCCCTGTATTCCCACATCACATCAAAGATACCCTGATTATTGCCAACTAGACAATCTGTGTTCCCTTGGGTCATTGTTCCAGAGATAGTTTCTTACCAGATTCCTCCATACCTTCAACAATGGCAGAGCTTCTAATGTATTGCCTTCACTGGAAAAGTTATTTAAAATTCAGGGAAATTTTCATACATGTAGCTATCTTGAAAACAGCCTATGTTGAGCTATATAGCACAGTCAAACATCTACAGTTGACCACAGGAAATGTTTTGTGATCATTTTTATGTCGTAATATGTTTTATAAAATTTGTAAAATTTCAACTCTTCAGGAGCCATGGGTCCAGAATTTTGGATACATTTGATATACCTTGATTCAAAAATTGCTTCCTTATGATGCACCATTTCACCAGTTAAAGGTTACAGAGTTTAAATAGTGTATGTACACATATACACACACACAGAGCTTCCAGGGAATGATAGAAAGAGACAAAAAGACATCAACCTGCAACAGCCTTTTCCAATATGGGGTTCTTCAGAGGGCCAGTTAGGAGACAAGACTGGTTATAAGCCAGCTCTTGACTGTATTTGTTAAGTAAGGCTGGCCTATGTTACAAAGAAGACTGTGTGATGACTCAGATGTTGGTGAATTAGAACTCCCAGCTTCTTCTTTACTAGTGGTCATCATGG